TGCTCAAAAGTCGGTAATGAGGTAGAGAAGTTAAAATGTCTAAAGTGGCTTGTGAATTATAAATCATAAGTCTTCTAACAGAAATCATTGGTAAATCATAAAAATTTAGATTTGGAAAAGACTAGAAAGATCAATCACAATAGCAGCTCAAAAAAATAACAGCTAACATATATTTAATGCTTTAGAGTTTATAAAACACTTTCTTCCTAACAACCCCGTAAGCTATCTTTATTATAAGTATTATTCTCCCCACTTTATAGATGAGAAAGGTGAGACGCAGAGAAAAAGTGATTTGCCTGCATTCACTGTTAGTACATGATCTTAGTCCAGACACCAAAATATGAGGATGAGGGTGATAGGAATTCCTGATAATTTCTCTGAATAAGGGAAAATACTAACTTGTTTGCAGAGACACTTCTCCTTTGTTAACAGTGTTTAGTTTCTGGGTGAGGATTGCCTTCTAAAAGTGTCTTAGTCCTTGTGATCATAGCTTTCCAATTGGAAGGTATGTCAGAGATCATCTAGCCCAACCTCCTAATTTTTTTTTTTAGGCAATTGGGGTTAAATGACTTGCCTAGAGTCACACAGCTAGTAAGTGTCATGTGTTTTGTCTGAGGTTGGATTTGAACTCAGGTCCTCCTGACGTCAGGGCCCCTGCTCTATCCACTGTGCCACTTAGTTGCCCCTACCAACCTCCTAATTTTTACAGATGGAGAAAGTGAGACCCAGACTCACAGGCTGTCTTTGAATAGTCCAATAAAGCAGACTGTGCAGTTGGTTTCATTTTGCTCCCCCAAACAAGAAGCAACCTAATTTCCTTGGTCCATTGATCATCTTACCTTTAGTGACTATGATGAGCATGAATAAAAAAGGCCATTCTGAAGATAATTGCAGTTTATGTGCCAACATCTGTTACAGAAAATTATGAGGTAGAGAAGTTCTACCAATAACTTAACAAGATCTTCTAAGTCAGTGGTATATTTTAATATTAATGACCTTAGTGCTTATATGAGCATGGGAGAAGACAGTATGGGCTCAGGTTTGAAAAACAAAAAAAGTCAAATATTTGTAGACTAATCAGAACCTTTCTACCTAAAGAGACTTGGAAGATGCTGGACCCAATGAGCACCAAACAGTATACCAGGAGATGAAATTGTCTTTGTCTTAATAGACAGCACACAGCAGGTTCTTGATATGAGTCATGTAAGTAGTAGCTTTCTGTGTGTGACGAGGTCATCATTCAGCTATAGTAAATGTCAAAATTTCCATGAAATTAGATTATTACTTATATGTTAGCAAATTCATGAATTTTGATTACTATTATTTCCTGCCAAGCTTAGCTGAGATAAAGTACGGACCACAATGAATAGTCCAAAAGAACCCAGAAACCATCTTAGCTTGAAAACTCCTGGTTTCTTTTCTTAATTTTTTTTTTCAAGTGGAAGGACATGGCAGCCAAGGGCAACACTGGTTTAGAACACAAATTCATTTGTAAAATACTATGGCCATGTGCCATGATGCTGGGGAGTTGGGGAATTCTGAACTACAGTAGAACTAAAACCAGTTGGGTATCCATATTAAGTCTGGAATCAATATGATGAGCCCCTGGCATCAGAGGACCACTAAACTGCCTATGGAAGGCTGAACCAGCCCACGCCAGGAAAACTGAGCAAGTTAAAGCTTCCATGTGGATCAGTACTAGGATTGAGCAGTTGAGTGGCTACTGTACTGATTATGTACATCTTTAAATACAAGGTTTCTTTCTTTTTGTTTGTTTTTTTGGTGAGACAATTGAGGTTAAGTGACTTGCCCAGGGTGATACAGCTAGTAAGTGTCAAGTGTCTGAGGCTGGATTTGAACTCAGATCCTCCTGACTCCAAGGCCAGAGCTTTACCCACTGCACTATCTAGCTGCCCCAATACAAGGCTTCTGAATAGTCTAGACTGGGTGAGACTCAATCTAAAAATATATATATATTATATTGTGTATAATATATATTAGATATTATATTGTGTATTATATATTATATATGTTATATTGCATACTCTGTATCTATGTGTATAATATATATTAAACATTATATTATACATTTTATATATATATACATATTACAGAGAATTGTGGAAGATTACAATGAGTATTGTCTCTTAAATAGTGAAAAGCAGTGGAAGGAAAAACAGGTCTATTAGAAAGCTTAGCAGAAGGTTTACTGAACCCAATTCCAAGATGATTTATAGATGAAATGAGAGGACAACAAAGAAAAGAAAAATGGAAAATATATTTCCACATTGATCTATCTTCATCAGTGATGGGGGAGCACCACATTTGAATCTGAACACCCCAAAAGCTGATTTGTTGAAATGGCGCTTTGGAAATGAAAATCTAGAAGAATGCTTGGATAAGAGCAAGTGCATCTTGAGGTCAGCTATGCTGCAAAGGACAATCTCGAAAGCTTTTAAGAGTTAACGTTTTACAAGATATCTCAAGGTGGGGAAGATTCCAAAGAGTAGAATAAGCCATAAGTTTTATTATTTCCAAAGATGGTGATTGAGGAGACTCCAACCCATGTGCTTACTTACTCATCTTTATAAAGCCTTTTTGAGAAGGAAATACTCATGTATCTAGGAATATACTCATGTATATTCTGATGAGAAATGCTCATGTATCTTGATGAAAGTATGAGAAGGAAATGGGCAGGCTTTGAAGAGGATTCTTAATGAAAGACCATATTTTTTTCAGTCGCACAGGTAACTGAGAGGTGCACAAAGTACAATAACTCATTGTTTTTTCATTGTAAAAATAAAAATGATCTTGTGTATATATTTAGCTCATATAAGTCCTGGATAGTTATAGCCATAGTAATAATTCAGTTCAGCTCTGCCCCCACACCTACCCCTACCCTGCTGATTTCTAACATCAAGTGAGGTATAAAACAGGGAGATATATGCTTGTTTGAAGGTGTTCGTTCATCACTGTGTTCCATTTTGAGGTTATTTTGAATGGTACTTCCTTTTTCAATATTTCCCTCTAGATTTTGTTGTTGTTACATAGAAATATCATTTTTGTGTGTTTTTTTATCATGCTACTTTATCAAATCAATTGTTTAAGTTTCTTTGCTGATTGTCAAGGATTATTTTAAGTAAGCCATCATGTCATCAGTAAATAGGGATAGTTTTGACTCCTCTTTGCCAATGCTTATGCCTTGAGTTTCTTTCTCTTTTCATATCACTATTGCTAGCATTTCTAGAAGTATGCCAAATAACAGAAGGAAAGAGGGCATCCTTGTTTTGCTCCTGTATTTATTTGGAAAACTTCTAGTCTGGTTGTTTATCATTGTCATTGACAATATCCTCTGTCACTCCTCCCCTCTTGTCACTTCCATAATGTACTTATACACATCCCAGGGATTCTCAGTTAAAATTTTAATGACAGTGATACCATCATAATAATTGTAATAAATAATTAAATTATATGGCAGCAACAGTAGTTAACATTTGTACAGCACTTTAAAGTTTGCAAAGTGATTTTACACATATTAATTCACTCGATCCCAACAACAACACACTGAGAGGTATTAGCCCCATTTTACAGATGATGAAACTGAGGCTGAGAGCGTGACTTGTCTAGGGTCACACTGCTATTGAGTGTCTGAGGAAAGATTTGAATTCAATGTCTTCTTGACTCCAAATCCTGCTTTCTTCAGTACTTGCCCAAGATGATGAGAGCTATTGTACCATTTTAAGATATGTTCCATTTTAAGCATTCATCTTTGTGAAAAATTAAAAGAATATTGGGGCCTTCTGCCATTTTACCTTTCAGTACTGTCAAAAAAAAAATTAGAAACTAAAAGGACTAAAACTTTCCCATTTAGACATGACTATGGAAAGTACCTGGTGGTTATTTATGTTTCTCCATACTTAGTCTTTGCATTGCTTGCGTACTTGATTCATCTGTGAATTGTTGAGCAGTGGGTACCCACCTCAGAATTGTATTCTTTTTTTATTTTATTTTAAATTTTTATTTATTCATTTTGTTTTTCCACCATCTTTCCTTAAAGGAAGTACATCCTACTTGGAATTAAAATGGAAAATGTGGAAAACTGGGGAGTAACAATTGATGGCTCCAAGTAGATAGTTGCATAGCTCTGCAATCATGACTGCTAAATTATGTAACATCTTCTGAGGGAGAAAGTTAATGGTTGGGTTCACTAAGCTGTGTAATTAATGCTTTTTTTGCTGAGCTCCAGCGCTTGAAGTGGTTTGAGAAAAATGAGGTTGTTTCTTGTTTTCCTCTGGAGTGTGACCAATATAAAGGACGTTGGTGACAATTAAAAATGTGAGAGCATAGTCCAAATTGTCAGGTGATGATATGAGTATCTTGGAAGAGTGTTGCCAGTGGGAATAGAAGTGTAATTTGGTTGCTGCTGGCCTGAGCAATCTTGGCACAACTGAGGCTGTTTCCCTTCCTTCAGCCTTCCCACTCTCCACAGAACAGAAACAGAGACTTTCAAATAAGAGAAAGAAATGGAAGCACTTTTCTTTCATAGTATTGTTAAAATGTACAATTTGATTAGCTTACAAATGGCACCTATTGTGTGATTTGGCAGATATTAACTAAGAATTGGTATTGAAGGAGATTCAGTTAATGTTGACTGGTGTCAGTTGTGTATCAGACACTGTGCTTGGTGGGAACTTCAATGAATTTTTCAGCTAGTAGAAAAGAAGATAAAATTTGTGTATTATATATGCACAAATATAATGTAGTCAAGGTAGAAGTGTGTCTACGAGACATCCAAAGAACTTTGTTAAATTATGGTAATCCTGTGCCCTGATACGTAGTAGGCACTTAATAAATGCTTGTTGACTGAGACTGACTGTTGCCCTTTAAAGAATGGATTTTATCCTGAAGTACATACTCAACATTTGCATGTGTCCTCTTGCAAATATGATGTTTCTCTGCTGCTTGACTCTGAATGTATTTTCCCCCTTCTTATATTTCAGGACTCATTGTTGGGGTGATCCTACGATATGGCATTCCTGCTACCAGTGGCCATGATAAGTCTCTCAGCTGTTCTCAGGAAGATAGGCCATTCAGTACTCTGCTGGTCAATGTCAGTGGGAAGTTCTTCGAGTATACATTAAAAGGAGAAATTAGCCCCGGAAAGATCAACAATGTTGAGCAGAATGACATGCTGAGAAAGGTCAGTTGGACTTGGCAAACCTTCACTGTTGTGATTGATTCTTGCCTTTTTCTAAGTGGGATGGAATCACCTTCAAATGTAGTAGTCATGCTTTTCCAACCTCAGATTTAGGGTCATGGGATCAAAATTTGAAAGTTGAAAGAGAATTTAGAGTACATCTAATGGAACCCCCTCATTTCTTCTTTTATAATTATAATTATTATTATTATTATTATTATTATCATTATTATTACTGCTACTATTACTACTACTACAACTCAGGTCTTCCTTACTTTAGGTCCAGCCTTCTTTCCAACTGCAATTGAAGAATTGAGGCCTACAGAGGTTAAGTGACTTGCCAAAGGTCACACAGGTAGTAATTAGCAGAGCCAAGATTTGAACCTATGTGTTCTGACTCCAAATCCAATACTCTTTCTACTGTGCCATGCTGTCTCTGCAGTCTTGTTAAGTGCTGATGAGAAAGCTAGCACCTATACATTTGAGCCTTTTCTTAACCTGTAGTCTGGTATGGATGCTAATCCTACATACTCTATCCTAAGTCAGTCCATCACTTCCTATTTGCTATCCTTCCTTCCTCCCTTCCATCTTTCCTTCCTTCCTTCCTTTGGTCCATTCCCTTCCCTTCTCTTCTTTTCCCTTGCCTCCTCCTTTCCATCTCTCCTTTCTTTTTTTTTTTCTCCCTTGCCTCATTCCTTTTCTCCTCCCTTCCATTCTTCCCTCTTTCTTCCCTTCCTCCCTCCTTCTCTCCCTCTTTGTCTCTTTCTTTTTGTTTCTCTCTATATTTCTCCTCTTCTCCCTTGTAAATCTGGCTCCAAGATGCAGATTTACTGTTAAGAATTTCTCTCCAGGAGAATGAGATTAAATTGCTTTCACTTGATTACTGAAATTAAATTGTGGTGCTTGAAGTTGGAACATTAAGATTTTTGGTTTTTGTCATTCATTCATTCATTCATTCTTTTGGAGGCATCAAGGCATAGTAGATAAAGAGTCAGCCTGGGAGCCCAGAAATCCAGGGTTCACATCTTGCCTCTGACCTTTATGGGCTCTGTGTCCCTTGGCACGTCATGTGACATTTGGTACTTCTCAGTGCTCTTGGACATCTTTCTAAGGTTGTGAATTGCAGAGAAAGGGACAGTCCACACTGTTAAAGGGAGTTACTCATCAGGAGTTCCCTATATCAATGAAATCATAGATCTAACCTTATCTTTATTCTTTCCTTTATTCAGCAAATTCATTCAAAATATAAAAATTTGCCATGGAAAGAACACTGGATTGAAAATTAGGTGAATTAAATTCTAGTCTCAGTTCTGCCTTAACCTGTGTGACCTTGAGGCACATTTACCTCTGCACCTCCTTTTTTCTGTCTATAGAAAGGGGGTTGGAACAAACTATTTCTAGGACCACTTTCTATCCCACTCTGATGTTTGCAAGACGCTCCAGGAAAAGCACTGTGGATGGTTGAAGTCAATGGCTTAGTGTCAGCTAAGTTTTTGGTATAAATGAAAGTAGAGAATTTGTCATATTATAATCTTAACCCAAAAGTTCCCTCTTGGCCTCTCCACCCCCCACCCCTTCACTTTTTTAGTTGATGTTATTAGTGGCTGAGTCATTCTGAGGGAAGGGTGTTTTTGTTTTTTGTTTCCCTACATTAATGATTATCAGGGGAAGCAAGAGATAGAGATTTGCTAAAACAGGGTCCATTGCTTTATATATAAAGTTATGTTTCTCCTCCCTGCCCCCAACCAGAGCATGAATTCTCCAGTGGCCAAGAATGCTCAAAGTCTCATCTTAGTTATGGAGAAGAAACAGCAGAGGCAGTCTGGTCCCTCTTCTTAGATCCCCTTAAACCAGGGGTTCTTAGCGTTTATTTGTGTCATCTGGTGACATTTGTGGGACCCTTCTTAGAATGTTAGAATGTGAGTTCTTTGAAGGCACGGACCAGTTTTTGGACCATGTTTGTACCTTTTAATCCCCAGTGCTTAGTACAGTACCTTCAACACAGTAAGGTCTTCTTAATAAATACTTTTTGACCATCTGACTTAAAAACATAAAATAATTGCTTTCTGTAAGACACTGTGCTAGTTAATGAATAGAGTACCTATGAAGATAAGTTTAAGTTATGTTATATTGTATTCTGTTAGTAATTGGTCCTTTGATCTGAAAAAAAAATAGCACTAAATAGTCCTTCCAGTGGAAAAAAATCAATAAACTATATACAGTGCTTTTCTCTTGTTTGTTTTTAAGGAGAAAGCTACTCACCTGGGAGTTCTATGAACTCAGATTTTCAGTCTTTCCTCTCTATAGGTAACAAGGAAGAGATGTTGAATTTTTATGCTAGTTTGAGTAACACATCCATTTAAATGACTCTTGGAAAGTGTTGCTGTTATTGATTGTGATACCACAATAAGGAAGGCAAGGCAATTGAGTCATGGGAGTGGGAAGGCAGCAGCTGCAGCCCATACCCCTGAGGAGGGTACAGAGGCTGAAGTCAATACATACAAGCTGAGAGAGTCAGGGCTCATTTGTTAATGTTTGTAAGTTAGCCTATTAAATATTACTGTTGTAGAGCTGATTATTTTTGAATGAGGAAGAATGAAGGAGCCATGTGGGATCTATTCATGGCAGAGTGTGGCTGTGTTCTAATATTGAGTGTTTTTGTTTGGGTACCTGGCTGCTATGTGTGACCCTGGGGACATTTTGTATGCCCAGGCCATGTTGTGATACTGCCTGAGGTCTTGGGCATAGAGAATCCTGAAAGGTTGGTCAATGATCAGTCTGTCTCAGAGTCAGTAATAACTGTGTTTTTGAAGACATTTCATCCACCATTCCCCATTATTTACTGTTACCACACTTGTCAGAGGTCAAAAGACCCTGACAAATTGTACTTGTTGTAGGGGAGAGAAGTAATCTAGTTGGAAGTGGTGAGGGCATAATTTTTTGTGGTAAAACAGGCAACAGAATGAGGATATATGTTTTGGGATTTTTGCAGGCAGCTAGGTGGCACAGTGAATAGAGTGCTGGGCCTGGAATCAGGAAGATCTGAATTCAAATGTGTTCTTAAACACTTACTAGCTATGTGACGGTAGGCAGTTTGTCTTAGTTTCCTTATCTATAAACAAGCTGGAGAAGGAAATGGCAAACCACTTCAGTATCTTCTCTAAGAAAACCCCCAATGGGGTCATGAAAAGTCAGACGCAACTCAACAACAACAAATTTTATGGGTGAGTATTTATATATGTGTGTGTGTAGACATAATATTTTTGTGTTATTGGGATTTGTAGAAAGGATTCACAAAGATGCTGAAATTTTTTTTTTGAAAGTTCTGTCAGTAATTAAAATCTTGTGTTTTGAATATGAATTAATCAGGAGTTGAGGGGGAGAGAGAACATCCAACAGAGAGGTAATTTAAGCAATGTACTTTGGGAGAACCATACAAGCCTTTGTGTAAATATGCACCCTTATTGTTTAATATATTTAAATGTGTAAAACACTTTACTTCTTTCCTGCATTAGGTAGGAAGAGGTTGGAGGAAAGGATCTTGGGCTTTCTTAAAGTAAGATAGCCCAGTGCTAATCTTCCTAAAACCTATTGTACTCATTGCTCTTTTTTTTCTTTTTTCTTTTTTTTTTTTTAAGCATTTGAGTTATATATATTGGAATCTAGATCTAGGCATAGTTACATATTTAATTGGCATTACTTGAGAAGCAAGGCAGCATGGTAGTAGAGAACCAACCTTGTAACCAAAAGAATATGAGTTCAAGCCTTGGGTCTGACACATACTAGCTATTCTTTCTCTTATTGATATGTAAGATACTTGAGGGTGGGTTTTTTGTTTCGGGATGTGTGTGTGTGTGTGTGTGTGTGTGTGTGTGTGTGTGTGTGTTTGCCCCTCTTTGTAGAAGAGGCACTTACGTGGTACAATGAACGGATAAAGCCCCTTGTCTGGAATAAGGATGTTCAGTCATTTCAGTTGTGTCCAATTCTTCATGACCCCATTTGGGATTTCCTTGACAAAGATACTGGAGTATTTTGCCATTTCCTTCTCCAGCTCATTTTATGGATGAGAAAACTGAAGCAAACAGTTAAGTGATTTGTCCAGGGTCACACAGCTAGTAAGTGTCTGAGGATGGATTTGAATTCAGGTCCTCCTGACTCCAGGCCTGGCCTTCTACCCACTGAGCCACCTAGTTGCCCAGCTAGTCAGGAAGGGCATGGGTTCAAATTTGAATTCAGTGACCCTGAGGAAATCATTTAACCTCTGTCTGCTTTAATTTCTTCAGTTGTAAATGGGATGCAAATGGGATGCGGCACCTTCCTCCTAGGGTTATTAGAAAGATAAGATAACATTTCTAGAACATTCAGCTTGGTGTCCAGAACTAATAGATACTTAATAAATGCTTGCTCACTTCCTCCCTCCCTTGCTCCCTTTGTTTCACGTGCTTTTACCACTGTCCCTGGCTAGTAGTAAGCCTTGATACATGCTCATTTGATTAATTAGGGGGCTAGTGGCTTAATCTCAGTGCACCAAGCAACTTCTAAGACTATAAATTTTACAGTAGTGAAAATCCCATCTATAATGGAAGAGGGAGTTTCATCACCAGGAGTTCCATCACCAGGAGTTTCCTACATGAACGAAATAAGTTTAGATTAAAAAATTTTTAATTATGTAACATATACATGCACATGAACATAATTACATGGTGTTTTACAGTCAAAGGTAACTTTCACGCTATTCATACGACTGTTTTGAATTACAAATTACATTATGCAGCTAAAAGCAACTTGACAATAGTAATGTATAAGTTACTGGGAATAAGTGTACTGTTCTGAAGTCTGAAACCAAGTTAGGAGAGATAAGTATGCAGCTCCACTCGTTATGTATATAAAAGCTGAGTAACTGTTGAGACAACCAGATTGAGCTTCAACTTATATCCAAGAGACCTAGATCCATTCCTGCATCAGTTTCACGGCATCTCCTTGGTGTTATTGGGACAGAAGTA